GCGCAGCGCCATTGACAGCCTGCGCATGTTCAATTCAAAGACCGGCAAGATCGATGAGGGCCAGTGACAGCTGGTACCGCTTAAGCTGCGTGCCGGAGGAACTGCAAATGGCCTTGTAAAAGCCAAATTTGGTGAGCGCCCGATGTATGGAGTAAGCTAGAGGCTGGTGTGTGCCAGAGCTTGAAGAGCAGGGCACTTCGGGTGTGGCTTCTGTCACCTTGCCAGAATGACTGGCAATGCTATCACCAGTGCACATGCAGCACGCGTTTTAAGTTCAATGTCGTGTAGAACTGTTCGCTAAATGCAAAATCCTGGCGCGCAAAAGTTGCTCCATTTCCACATTCCCCCCATACCCCAGAGCCTGTCCATTGGCTCTGACTGTGCTTGAAGTGGCACTGGCCTTCAGCACACGGTGCTTGCACCACCCACATATGACCACCAGTGGACTCTGAGCATCTTTCGGCATGTGGAGCTGGCGCCTGACTGCTCACGCGCGCATGCAGTTCACGTACGGATGTGACGAAATGGCCTGCTCGGTGGAGTCAGACGCAACCTTGGCACGCAGGCAGCTTTGCGGCATTCAGGTCGGCGATGCTCGTTCTGGCGACCGGGCACTCTGAGCTGGTGCAGAAGGCCTGAAAGGTGGCGGTGCCAAGTCTTCCAGAATTTGCTTCATTTGCTCTGAAAAATTGTGTGGAGTGTTGTATAATCTAAAGAACTGATGAGTTCAGGCTACACAGGCAGATGCTGTCCCCCTTGGATGCTAAGCCCAAGGCTGGCTTGCTGGGGCTTGCACCTTGGCAATCCCACAACGAAGCTGCTGACAACCCGTTGCGCGCGGGGGCCTGCACTGCTTCCGCTAGGACTACCTGGCCTATCGATCCTGGGCTGCAGACTGCTGCCGCGGCAGCTGCAGCTGCTGCTGCCAAGCCAGTGTCCTAGCTGTTGAACGATACTTGCGTTGGACTTCCCAGCTTCACTCCGTCGCCTGAGCCGATGGACCCTCTGCCGGGATCTCTGCTCGACAGGTTGGGCACACCTCACGCTGTGCTGGGAGACTTTAAGACAAGTCACAACCCACCTGCTGCATGACAAGCCAGGATTTCAAGCAGTCCTCGGCCAGTTGCACATCTGTGCAAGGGCATAGAGATTCAAGACGCTGAGCTTCCGGCTATGTGGAAAATGTGATTGCAGGATAGCTTTTTGGGCTTGGAGCCATCAAACAATGAGTCACGACCTGGGCAAATTCTGCAAAATTGAGCGATTGTGCAAGCGCGATACGACGAAACCCTTGGCGCAAAGCAAATAACGCAATGCTCGTTCTCTTCAATCTCAGCATCTGTGGCCTGTCAAAGATTCTGTCTGCAAAGGCAAGTTCCCTTTTTGTGGCCCCGACATCTGGAAAGCGCAACTCCATATTCATGGAGATGCATCTGTATCTCCGGAAACTGCGCAAGCGCTGCGCCAGCTTACGAGCAACCTGGCACGGCACCACTCTCACAAACTTGGAACAAGATTCGCCGGCCTGTATGACATCTGCCATCATGTAGATGGGAAGCCGGGAAGGGTTCTGAACGAAGAAGGTCAGCATGAAGATCTGGTTTGTTGGCGGAGCTCTGTGCAAACTGCAACTGGCCTCCATTCGCTTTAAGATCATCGCCAGGAAAAGAGTCATGGAAACGACGTCGTGTATCAAGTCAACATAGAAAAGGCAGACCTTGCACACACACAAGTGCCACATTTGAGTTGCACCAAATGTGGTAGATTCCCCATGAATGAGTTGCAACATCAATACATATGGCTCAGCTGCCGGCAGACTTAGCTGGCCATCCATTCTCCAGCCTCTGCCGCTCTCATGCACGTTGCAAAACCGCTTTGGGCATGCCGGCAAAGGTCAATCAGTCGCCCCACGTAAAAATGTCAACTGTGTGCAGGCATGCTCACTTGACCAGCACACAAATGTTTCACGTCATTGACTGCAAGCAAGTATATACTTTGGTGGACATGCTTGTATGTTGCCTCCTCGTGAAGCCTATTTCAGCAACACAACGTGACCTTGAAAGATCCGAACGCGGAGAAGCTGAGAGGTTTCAGCAAACACACGCCTGTGGCAAACATAAGTTTCGGCCTCAAGTCGATCATGTGGATGGAGTATTTGCACATTGACAATATCACCACTGTTGACATTGTCAAGGCCTCCACACGCCAGTTGTCAGCATTCGGGTGGGCAATGTCAGTTCTGTGGTGGTGCAACAAATGCCTCGAACAAGATCCAGGTGAAGAAAGTTGATTTTCCAGACCTGGGCTGCGTTGGCGTAGTATCGATGCGAAGCGGCTTGCATAAGGCCACAACGCCACGCTATAGAAGTAATTCAGCGCCAGCATGTCACATCCTAGCCACCAAAGACAAGCATTCGTATGCAATGACTACCGAGCTAAACAACATATTATATACATAAACTGTCTGCACTAGGTGCTTCCAGCTGTGCCTGCGGGCTTTGAGCAGTGGATCGACGGCTTCCTTTGTACTAACAGCATTTATCTGCCAACAACCCTCCCCGAAGAGTAAAACATCAACAGCATTGCTAGCATAATCAGCATCATCAGCATCACCAGCATCACCAGCATCACCAGCAACCAGCATGCCGCGGTTTCTCACACAACGGTATCGGTAGTGCATGTGTTTTGTGGGAGCCTTTCAATGTGTGTGTGACTGAAAACAGTTGGCAAACAAAACAATATCAACTCACCTAAATTGCATTAGCGCTCGTAACGCACCGTCTCCCGGCGCTTCCATTCCTACATGCGCAGCACATCATCAGCGCATGTACAACACATGCCCTCAGCATCCAACGCAGTCGCCGTGGGCCCCCTGACCGCAAACGGGAAACATCACCAGCCAGGAGATTGATTCAGAAGCATCATATCACTAAGGACCTTTCCAAATGAAAGGGCTGTGAGTTTGGCGCGAGCCTAGCGCCAGGCAAATGGAAAATCGGTAAACAAGCCACAAAAGAAAAACCCAGAAAGTAACCCATCTCCAGCCCCGGAACCCAGGGCCTCCAACGTACCAGCGACCAATCAACCACACACACGCGGCCTGAGCCGACGATGAGCTGCACGGTTAATCCCCGACCCAGTATCCAGCGACTTATCCGAGGCCGCAACGAAGACAAACTTGAGCCAAACGTTCTCCCTTCCGCATGATTGAAAGACGTGGCAACTCACACCTCGCGTGGAGCTTATCATTCGACGGGTGGAGCGCGCCAGCCGCCAATAAGAGATAAAGCTTGCACACTTCCACATACAGAAGGACGCTGCCACCATCAGCGTTCGACCAAATCTCAAGAAGTCGTCGCCACGATGTCCCAAGCGTTCCAACCCCGCCACCACCCTGAGTCTGTCGGGGTAGCGTGGATATGAGAAAAGCCACGCGACAGCAGCAGAGATGCGGGATTTCGTTCATAACAGAAGCTACGATGCCATCAGCCTAACGGCCTCAAGGGCTGACCATGATTTCTGACCCCATGTTGCACCCCGAGTCGCCGTCGAGCAAACAGCTGCTAGCCCTGCTTTGGGAGCAATGGTTGACTAAGGAAGCAAATGTCTATCAGTGCGCCATCCGGGTTCTTCTCACCTCTCCTCGCGGTTCCCCTGCCTCGCAACCTGCCTTTCCACGCACCGTCGCCCGCTTGGCAAAACTTGCGTTTCCTTGCAGAGCTTCACTCATCTGCGTAGCAACGTTTCCCTCAAGAGCCTCAATTCGTTGCTGAGGCTCACCCACAGGCCCGGCTGCCGCCTGCTACTTAAGCCCGTTTCAACTAATCTGAAATTTGTGGCTACGGTTGCCCAGTGTGACTAGATCAGTAAGCTTGCTAATTTTCCTGCACCCCGTGATATCTTTATTGTCTCTTTCGAGGTAGGGCGGTCTGGACCAGGCTGATCATCGTGGCGCGCCTTAGTTTCCTTAAGCTCGAGACTTGACGCACCAATTCTCAGGTCCTGAACAATGCTCTTGATTCCATGTCCTGCGACGCTTCTCAAGCCGACCGTCCTGAACGGTTCACCGGACGCCCACGAATGTTGACCATCCATGAAACTTGCCATGCCTGGACGCATCCCTATCCCAATCCACGTCATCTTCGGGAACCAGGAAGATTCGCGCGTCATCCTCGCGACTCCTCGAAGTCGTAGTCCCTCGCCTACGTCGCGGAGACCCCCGCCACGCACGGTCTCGTCACCCACGACGCTCCGTGAAATCGACCTACTCGCCGTCGAGCTGGCGGCGGGAGGCCTCTGGTGCGCACGAGACTGATAAACTGTGAGTTTGGCGCGAGCCTAGCGCTGGGCAAAGTCCAAAACCCAGGGTTTCCAGGCAACGCTCACCCGAGGCCGCGAACCAAACGCAAGACTTGGCTAATCAAAGGAGGAACAACTTGCATACAAACGAGAAGCAAGAAGCACCTCCAGCCAGGAGAGTGATTGCATCAGCAGCATACGGCCTCTCGACTACCTTTCCATTACTGCATGCGCTGCACCTGTACGAAACATTATTCTAAGGAGAAAGGTCCCTTCCCCCGCAGCACTACTGGTGCACAGGGATGCATAAGAATGCGTGAGCACCACCAGCCAGCAGGTTGCGCAGCAGCCTGCAAAGTCGGCGGTGCGTGACTGGGTCAGCATCTTGAGCTCGCTTACGCTGCATTCAAACAATGACACCTCTGCCCCATGCGACCCTGAAACGACTGACATTCTTCAGATCCTAATGAAGTATCAAATAGCTCCGTAACCACCCTAAACCACCCTAAAACCAGCCTGCACCTGCCCTAAAACACTCCCTAAAACGACCTTTGATGATGCTTGTGCACTATGCCCGCATGAAGCGAAGCCTAGACAAACACCCCGTTGGTGATGCTTGCAGTGTTGATGATGCTGGCCCCCCCGGAGAATATGAACATTGACTTGTTGGCGTATGTTGGCGTCCTTAGGTTTAGGGTGGGTGTAGGATGGCGTTGGTTCAGACCTGGTTTGGGCTTGGGCCAAGCTGGGTTGAGGGTGAGCTGAGGTTAGGTTGGGTTGGTTTGGGGTTGGTTTAGGGCTGGTGTAGCGGATTCGGGGTATATGTCTGGTGAGTGTTTCAAATAGTTTAGATGTTTGATTCTGGCTGGGGCTTCAGGTCGATTTAGGCTGTGTTTATGGGAGTGGGATTGAGATGGGCTGAAGATGGGCTAAGAGTGAGGGTTTGTTTAAGGTGAGGTTGCTGAGGTCACGCCCGAAGAACCATGAAAGCAAAGCTGCAAATGCCACGTCAAAAACAAATAAACCCATATAAAAGCCGGAAAAAATGTTGAAATCCTCGAGAAGCCGCCAAGGCCAGAAAGCCGCCAGAGACGCCAAACAAAACAAAACAACAGCAAACAACCGCGAAAACACCAAACGAATGGCCCTCAAAGCAACTGAAGCATGACCGTGATGCTATACAATATCATGCGTCCGTTTGGTTTCAAGCGGATCGAGTAAAATGAGCATGTGTGTGTGTGACAAAGAAGTCCTGCACTGGGATTCAACAAAGCCAAACAAGCCCAACGACTCTTGAAACACAACTGTCATGCCGAGTCATGCCCTACATGCCGGCTGGGCCCAGCAGCAAAGCCATCAAAGCAACCAGCTTGATGTTCACGATCAGCCTGGCGACGCCAACCTGCAGCTCAGCAATGTTTGTCACCCGGATGACCTCGGATGCCCATGGCCTCGAACATATGAGAGACCCGGATTTGTGTGGTCAGGTGGAAAACCTCAGTGTTGCATGCTGAAACAGCGAGGAGTTCAGAGCAGGCCTTCATGAATATGACGCAGCATATGTACTGGATAAGAAAGACGGTGCCAACCTCCGGCAAGACACTCCTCCTCTCCGTGTTTGAAGCCAACACCCGCCTCACGATTATCAATTGTGGGTGCATAGAAGACCAAGAAAAGTATGGTGTCTGCCTGAGTCAAGCCGCACACAAGTTGAAATGGCCACAAGAAGTGCCCGACTAAGAAGCCCCGTCCAGAATCAACCAATTGCTCCACCTGCAGTGGAACGTATTCCAACATTCCATCTGCGCAGCAGTGCTCACTGCCTCCACGTCTCGCAGAGTTCCGATGAAGACTCGTAGAAGGACTTTGCCGAACAACAAGAACAACGCAAACCTTGCAGCATTGCATCATCCGCCGTTTTCGAAAAATATCATCTCCAGTCGCCCTAGCACTGAGTCGCAAGCACAAAATTGTACATTACAGCCAGGCATATCTTGTCCGTGGACAAGTAGATGACCGCTGGGTAGAATTGCTCATGAACAACAAACGCCTCACTCACTCACTTCCCACAATCCAGGCAAAGCCGCAACCGAGGAAGGGACATGGGCCACCACACCGAAGACTACTAGGGTGCTCAACACTATGTAGGAGGAAAAGTTCATCTGTGCCTTGATCCACATTCATACATGGACTCACAGAATCATGAATGCCTCTCACAAAATCCACACACCCGCCTGGCATGCAGGCACATCAAATCCAAGATGCAAATTGCAGCGCAAAGCGAAAGTGCGCTTCTTCATGTATGCTCACTGCACAAATTTGGCAAATTAAATGTTGATCACCTTTTCCTGGAAAGTGCTTCAGCTTTGTTTTGTGGGCATTTGATGGGCTCTGAGAGGCTGCTTCTCTTTCGGTTGCTTGCTTATCTTTATTGCGAAACCGTCGGAATATAGCAAGCTGTGCAAGAAACATACCATCCAGAACGGCAGAAAAGAATGCCACACAAAGTCCCATTTTCTGTGATTTCCTCGGATTGGCTGCAGATCTCACGCTTGTCACGCAGTGGCTAGTGTATCAGAACATTGGGTACTCTGCTACGGCACTTGCCACTTCTTGACTGGCTACCAACTGGAGGCGGACTATGTACAGTCAGGCAGTTCTCACAGCCATTCACTCACTCAAATCACATTTATCGTATCTGCTGTCGGTTGTGGGTGTGTTTACATTCTTAGATTTTGCGGGATGTGAGTGACGTTGACTGGATCGTGCCATCAAGCAGGCGAGACAAAGCTCTCCAAAAAATGCAACAGCACGTGACAGCGGTGTCGCACAGGCACAGCCTTCACGGGAGCGACCAACAGTCAGTCAATGTCAAATTTGCACTATCGCTTAGTTCGCTTAGTTGGCTGTAGTCGGCCTAGTCAATCAAGCTCTGCAAGTCGCAAATGAGGCCACCAGTTTCGCAGGTAGCTGTCAGGACTCTTAAAACACTTGGCAAATGTGTAAATGAGTATGTTGAATGTGCCTCTGTGTGTGTGTGTGTGTGCGTGTGTCTGTGTGTGTGTGTGTGTGCAATCAGATGTCAGCGGTGACCAAAATCTAATCTGTCAGAAGGGATTGCTTGCAGTGAAAATAAATCCAAGTCTGGCGTCCAAGTCTCTGCCGTTCAGCCAAGTCTTCCCAGCCGTAGCCTGCCTGTCGTGTTCAGAGAGGCAGCGGTGGCCAAAAAACCATCGGATTCTCAAGTCATCCCCGCAAAGAATCAAAGCGAGAGCCTCACAGAAGTGCTTTGGCACAGGCTGCAACAAAGCCCACGCTGGCCCCGGTGGAGCCACCAGCAAGCACATGACCTCTGCATGGACAGGTCAGCTACCGAGTCAAGGCAGAAATCACGCCTGTTATCGAAAAAGCTGCCATCCTTGCGACATCTACAACCTGAGCTGCAAGCGGCTGCAAGGCTTCTTGGTCTCCGAAACTGAGGTCCTGGCTACCGTCCCCAAGCCGCCTGGTCCTGGAGTCTTGCGCTTTTTCTTCTGTGGTTCCTGGACCTCATGCAAGCAACGCAAGCAACGCAAGCAAGTCAACCATTGACAATTTGAAAATGTGCCCAAGGCCTGCTCGACTGACTTCTCTGACTTCTCTCGCATCTTGGTGACTTCAACAACTTGAGCATGCTGCTTCACCTGCAAGTCCATGTCGCGCAAGAAAATTGGGTCCGAAAGCAAATGCGAAGGTGCTCGTTACCAGCCTGACATTGCTTCTCAGCCTACCACAACTCTCAGGCGAGCCGAGCCAAGCCTGCCGCCTACCGGATCCCCCGCAGCCTTGCCACTGGCACAAATGCGGCATGGTCGGGGAGGCGAGGGAGGCGAGGGAGGCGAAGGCGGCTCGCTCTTTGCCAATGCTTCCTGCATCGAGTGGTTCGCGATATTTATGGACATGATGAATCCGGGTTTACGCTGCGTTTGGGGCGAATTCAGGACTTGTTGTTTTGTGCTGATTTGGGGTTGCGCTGGTGGTGTGTGGGGTGAGCTTGGTTGGTCTTTGGTTGGCGTCCAAGGCTTTGGGGTCGCCTCGAGTATTCATTGCGGCTTGTCTAGGGTTGACTTGAGGTTGGTTCAAGGTTGTTTCGGGTGTATCTAGGACTGGTTTTGGGTTGGCTGGGGTGGGTTTTCCGCTTAACCGATTGGTTTGGTGTTTTTGTTCAAGCAAGCAGACATAAGCTCCCAGACGAAACCTTGAAACATGCGCAACGTGGTCTGGCGCCATGTAAGTCTTCAGGACAGAGTCAGCCTTTGGTCTGCTCGGCCTTCTGTACGAAACACATTTTGGGTGCAGCTCATCACTTGCAAACATGGCTTGGTTTTGCAGATCGTTAACTTAACCTTGCTTTGTTTTCCTCTAAGTTTTTCCAACTTGAAATGTTGAGAAGCGCAGCCACGATTGCTTCGTACTTCATCACACATCCTTTGATTGGCTTGCTCGGTGTCAATGAACGAGGGTGGGTGTCCCGCAATTTGTCTCAATGTTTTCTTTTGAAACGCGTTACGTCTCGACACGTCCGCCTGTGAAATATGCAATTCTGTGAAACACGCAATGTCTCCAGGCCATGAAGTAACTTGGGCCAGGATACATAGGATACATTGAACTCAAAGACTTGGACCTTCGTGACCTTCCATTTTACCAACGCATTGGCTTCGTTCCAAAAGAGCTTTAACCTGCGGCGATCAGCACGGTCACTCAGCTCAGTCGGAAGCATCTGTCAACAGGTTCAATGCGTTGGTTACAAGTCTTCCCCTCGCAGGGCCATCCAGCGCAAAATGGACTGTTGACTGCCTTTGGTTTGCCGCTAATGTCACGCGTTTCTCAAAGTTTAAGTTTTCTGAAATGGTCTGAGCGTTCGATAGCGTGAAGAAAGACCATCACCGTACAGAATGCTTCTGGAACAATGGGCTGCGATTGAGAGGAGCGCGCAGTTCAACCTGCCGCCAAATCTGATCCAGAAAGTGTTCACCCCACATTTTTGCAAAAAGTGGCACGAAAGCTTTTTCGGGGTGATTTCTGAGCCAAAACAGCTCGAGCCTCGTCAAAACTTGTGTTCCTGGCAGCCGGCGCAACTTTTGGCCACCCCTTCCTGCCAAATCTGAAGAAAATTGCACGCGTACCATTCTGCCAAAAAGCGCCGCGAATGTTCTTTCCGGGTGAAGTCTGAGCGAAAGCAGCCCGAATCTCATCAACAACCATCGTTCAGCTGTTGACCACCCATCATCGCAAACAATCGCAAACATCTTGCACGCTGCTCTTTGCAAAAGGCAACACAAAAGCTCTCCTCCCAGTTCTGCAAAACCCTTGCCTAACACATCCTTTGCCCCACCATCATTTGTTGCTGATGATCTGTTTGAACTTCTTTTCTGGCGGCTGCGCAGCAAGCTTAATCTCCAATAATGCTTGCAACACGACCACCGTTCATACCTTTTAGTTCTCCAGCCCGTGTCGTGCTTCTCATGAATACACGCATAGGGAGAGTATTGATGGCCCTTGAAGGATCCCAAAACCAGGCGGAAGGGACATGTGCAAGTGACCCGATGCAAGCGTCCTTCTCATGCTCATCTTCTGGTATGGTTCGCATCAGTGCCGCCATACCTGAAGCCCAAGCTGGAAGATTGCACGCATGTTGCAACAGATCCAAGGCCTTCAAAGGGCTGTTGGTTCAGGTTACTGCTGCTTCTCTATGCGAGCCGTGAGCTACAGTGCGAGGTGGTCACACCCCAGTAGCGCGATCGCTGAATCAAGCTGCTCTCCAAGTTTTTCTCGCAGATTCACCTCAAGCTATGTGGCTATGTGTCCATCCGGACATGGCACTTGCGGAGGGCTGCATCTCATCTTCAGGTGGATCTGTGTCAATGGCTATGGCGGCTATGGTGACCAATCGTCCTGCACAGTCCTCGCGTGAGAGGCTTTAAAAGATCCCACGCACCTGTTGCTTGACAAAGCTGCGGGCATCCGAGTGGCACATGCTAAGTTGCAGTGCTTTGCAATCCACCAACTCTACCGTGAATGTTGAACAAGAATAACAGCAAGGACTCAGAGATCACCTGGACTGCGTCAAGAACATTATACAAACTCAGCGTCTATTCACCGAAACAAAATTAGCATATAGCCACGTCAGCTCTTCTATCGTGCTATTTTAAGCACTGCTATTGCCACACAGCCTTTCTTCGTTCTAGTGTGAAGGGCTGTATTGGCTTGGTGTGTGCACGCATTTTGCGACAGTGAAATCGGGCTAGTTCAGCTAAACGGTCAAGCACCCGTGAAGCAAATCACTGGACGCAGCAATTTTTGTCCTGCGCTTGGACAGTTGTGCAGAATGAGAATTTCACGCGCACAATGTGCGCTGCATTTGTAAATCGCAAGACCGCACACTCCTCAGTCACGAGCGGCTTGTCTGGAATACATGCCCCTGGAGGAAGTGGGTGCCCTGCCCTGGCAAAGAAAAGCTGCAAGCACAAATAACTCCCTGCCATTGAGCCAACGCAGTTGTTCCTTGCGATGTCTCACAAGCGCATACATGACTCGTAAAAGCATTTTGAACATCTTCGTTGGATTGATCCAGTCACTCCCTTTGGCCACATCAACAAATGCGGGCGTGCCAGGGATCTTCTTCCACATGAATGCCGAAGATCTTGATCGGCTTTGTCGGCCTCAAGCAAAGCCATTTGGGTGTCGATTTAATCATGGAGAGAATCGCCAAGACCAGCCTGTCCCCCTTGCCAACCTTCACACATTCCATTTCGCGAAGTGTTGCAAGGTCGGAATCCTGCCGAAACAGCTGCAACAAAGAGCGGAGTTTGTGGCAGCTTCATGGACGTTGTCCCGACCGTTAATTTCAACCCGACAAATGCAAACCAAGTGAAAGCACACCATGTTCTGAGCATTGCCTCCACTTGGCCGAAGATTGTGTGCTTTCCATCCAGGTGCTCACAGGCCTGTTCTGACACGAAAGAAGCTAGCCAAAAGGGTACTGCAGCCACGCGCCTGGAAGGTGATGAAAAATTGGGATGAGTTTGTGTTAAATCCAGCCTCGCAACTGCATGAACCGCACAACTTTACCCCTTGCAACTGCCAAGCATCCTGCATTGGCCATGGAGACGACCCCTGTTCTGTCGTGCGAGAGGCTGGCAACTATCTGCGCGAGTCCAGAAAGACCCCCAGGCCCACAAATGTCATGAGATGCTGAGTCAATGCTTAGCATGAAGTTTCTTGAGCTCTGGCAGAAGTTGCTTTACATCAAGACCTTTGTTGACTCAAGTGCGTGTCTCTCTGTCCAGCTTCACAGTATATCTGGCTTGGCGCATTCCTGCCTCATCCTGAAAAGTGGGGCCATAGATCGACCTGGCGTTCCAAGGCTTGACCTTGCCATGCCTATCTCAAGTGCAAAGTGCGCCAGCTAATTGGAAAAAGCCAAAAGTCTACCGAGGCTAACTTGGCAAAGTGGCTCCATGTCCTGTTTCACTGGAGGTGATCTAGTTTCTTGCAGCAACAAGGCTGAGCACTCACTGCGAGCAATTGTGTTCAATCATGTTTCAAAGGCACTGGAACATCGCATGAGGAGAGAAAAGGGTCTTCAGCAATGAAAATGCTGTCAACAGAAGGAATGCTCAGGTCAGATAGAACAAACTCAACTTCCAGCGCAACGGAAGTTCTCGGAGATGGGACCATTGGCACGGCCCGTTGCGGACTTTCAGGGGCTCGACCGTCACGTTGTTTTTGCGTTTTTCAGCTTGCGCAGCGGAGTTTCGGGGGGTCGACCACAAAAAACAAGTTCTTTGCATTGCTCATTTTGCTCGCGGAACCTCTGCGGACTTGTCGAGAAACGTGGAAAAATGCGGAGATAAATACATATAATACTCAGAGAGATAGCTGCATAGATTGCATTGATGGACATATAGAAAGGCAGAAAGACTGTCAAAGGAAAGTACGGTTTCGAAAGAGTCTCATTGTTCAAGTGCATGCTTCGTGGTTTTGAACGAGTGACTTGGGGGGGAAGATCGAAATATATAGAAAAAGTAGAAAGATTGTCAAATGAAGTACGTTTTCAAAAGAGGATGATTGTGCAAGCGAGCGTCGGGCCCAAGCCATGTCACAGCTTGCTGTTTTGGGCACCCGCTTGCGGTTTCCGGCAGCTGCGCCACGAGGAGTTCGCGTCGGCTTCGAAGGGCCTGATTGTTCCACACACAGCGCCTCCGCAACGGGCAACGTAACTGCGCTTGCGCCGCTCTATTTTTCTATTTTATTTTTCTATTATTATTTTGCAAGCTGGGCATGGTGCATACTCCACTACTCACTACTCCACATCTCGCCGCACGTTAACTTCACTCCACGTTATTAGCTCACAACTTGTGTCTGTCACAGCCTCTATGCGCTGCGTTCTGGTTTGACTCGAGCACGCAAGCACGAGCATGAAGCAACAGCGACGAAAGAAATGTCTCCCTCGAAGACCGCATATCTACGTCTGCTTGACCGACTGCGGCTGACACACGGCTCTTTTGCGAGCCGAGGCCAGCAAGGCAGACTGGCCATTGAACAGGGCGCAAGTTGTTTTCCAGCGCGCAGATGCCGCAGAGAACAGCTGTCGCTGGTCCGACGCGGGCGGTCGGCGTCAAAAATAGATTGGCCATCGCACAGCAGCAGCCTGGCACGTTCCTGCACTAATGCACTCAAATGTTTGAAAGAAGGCGTCATGGAAATAACTCCTCTGAACAAGGTCGCCAAAGTCAAAAAGACGCTGACCTCGCCCAGTTTTCGCGTTTGCCACGCGGCACAGACTGCAGCACAGACTGCAGCACTGATGGAAAAATTGCAAAACGGGTTCTCAACCTCAGTGGCCTAGAAAGAAGGAAGGAAAGGATGAAGAAAAAAACAAAGTCAAAAAAGAGAAAGAAAAGGAGAAGGAAAAAGAGGAAGAGGACGAGCATGAGAATGGGAAAAAGAAAGAGAAAGAAACAATTTCCCCCCCCCCTCCCTGAGGCCCACTGCCTGGGGTATCTTATTCTTGAGGGGAACCGATACCTTGTGGTTGTAGAGGATCTTTATTGGGTAGGTCCCTGGATCTATTCCGGAGAGTCCAAGTGTCAATACTGATGGATTGATACTGGATTAGGCCTGGTTGACTGCGTGCTGCGGTTTACCCTGAAAGTGGTCCGCTGTAGCACCTTTGCATCACGGATGCAATGGCTCAGTGAGCGTCTTGATATGTCTGCATGATGTGCTTGATTCATCCATATTCCGGAGTGCAGACCCATTGCAATCTACTGTAAGTGTTGGCGGATTTGTTGGCATCGCCAGTGATTGCGTCGCATTGGCAAGTTGTAACAAGTGGCATGGTTCCATTCTGAAAATCCTCTCTTGCTGCTCCATGAGTGATATTCGGATGGATACGGAAAACTCCAACTGTAGCATATGGAAGTTCGGCTTGAAGAATGTGTCGACTATCGTAGTTTGCATTCGGAGCCTTGGTTGACTTCGGCAATGCTCCTCGGAATTCGTTACTTTGGTCGATCTGGATCACCAGTTTCCTTGTTGCGCCCAATCTGGATGGCAGTGCGTGGTGGCAATCTCTAGCCGACATAGTCCTTGAAATTCTCCTTTGTCATGTGAGATCCGGTCGTTGCCAGGCAGTCGAAGGTTGGCGTGTCATACTCGGGATCTATACAGCCGATCTCAGTTCGACTCTGGCGCGCTCATTGCCACGGACAAAACATGCGACGGCGATGGGTCTTGCAGACCAGGATTTGATCACGATGCCATTGTAGCCTGTGAGGATAAACAAACGGATGATCGAGAAACGCGTCCGCGTCGTTGAGGCATATGATGTGAGCACTGTTGGGCGGCAACATTCGCGCGATCGGTCTGTCTCGCACGGGCATGCCCTTCAACTCTCTGCCGTCCAACTTCGGATTCCTCATAAATTTCCCATGTTCATTGTGAGTATGTTGGTGGTCATGGAGGAGTAGCAGTCTCGTGCCTGGAACTTGTCCATCGCTGGCCCTTCGGTGGCTTGCATCCAGGATCCGAGGATGTCCGTATATGCCTTGATCACATCGGGATCATCTTGTGTCCTGAGAGATTTCAGTCTAAGTGGCAGTCGAATCGCATATCCGGATGCTGGTTGCGCAGCTCCGTACTCTTTCATGGAAGGCTTGTTGCTGCGGTGGCGAAAGTAGAATGCGTCAGGATTGACGTGCTGCAGGGAATCAATCTCACACTGGTTGAGGTCCTTGAGTGAACATTCTGAAGATCCTGTTCATACCTTTGCATGAAGTCCTTGAAGCCTGCCTTCGTGATCTTGAGTTCTTCTTCCGCTTCAGTTTTGCTCATGTCTCGGTCGAGGCAGACCTGCTGGAACTCCTCGTTGAACTCGGCGAGATTGTCCGGATTGAGGTACTCCATCGTGACCCTGCGCTCGACGACTCTTTCCCTGGCGCGTTCCGTTCTTCATTCACCATCATCGCCCCTGTCAGTCAAGCGCCGTCTTTTCTTGGTCTCGGTGGATGTGTTCTTCTGAGATTGGTCCTTGTCTGATTTTTTAGCCTTGACATGTTTGAAGAAATCCTGCGCGAACTCTTTGATCTTAGTCATACAGTTCTTTGTCTGCATTTCCTGTCCTTCGGAATCATGTGCCGCAATGATGTTTTATGGCCCGATAGTATCTTCGGATAATGTAGCGCGTTCCTCGGTCAGCCTGATGCCTTGGTGGTTGTTCTTGAGGAAGCCAAGGATCAATACGGCATCTCGTCCTCCAAGCACATGTCAAAGCTGCCTTGGATGGCTCAACGTCGAGGATCACGTCGTCAATGCTTGCAACCTCGTGGGTCGGGCTTGATTCCTTGGTCCAGGATGTTGTGTATCTGGTCGTTGTAGGTCGCATGGAACGTTAAGGTCATTGGCTTCTTGTCGAATGGCTTGATCTTTCTCTCCTGTTCCACGGATTCAGGCGCCGGTCGTCTCATCGGCTGCGTCGCGCCGTGATCCACACGCTGCTTGTTGGATCTTGAAGGATGGATACGATCGTGGAGCGTTGACGATGGGAGATCGTAATGTTGGTAATCCTGCTGCTCACAGTCAATAGTATCGCAAGGCGGAAACCACTCCTGGATGCAGCAGGACTGTCTGTCTGCTGATCGTTCTTCTGCTTATCCTGAAAGCCCCGAATACCCCAACAACCTTGGTCTTCAGAAAGTTTGCGCCCTTCTCTTGCACCGGTGACCCAGTTTCTGACCTGAATCTTGCGTGTATCGACTAGGTCGAAGACTTCATTGTTAGCCGAGGTTTGCACTCGAGACGCTTAGCTTCGAGAAACTGCTTCTCATAAGCTCTTGTCTCAGTGGCTGTTGCTTCCTTCCGCTTCTTTCCAATGAGTGCGGAAGGATTCTTGCTTGGATGAGTACAAGACTAAGAGTGCTCGGTCATCGTCAGTCATGTTCTTGCACAATCGACCAACATGATTCTTGTCTGTGTTCCTGATGAACATCTCTATCACCCTTTCACGCGTCCCGTCCGAAGGTGATGTGATAGGCATGTTGGTGCCAATTTTGTGGACATACGCCGCGCATGCGTCGTACTAGTGGAGGAGATGCAACGTTGTCTTAACTTCTTGCAACCGTTCCACATTCTCTGACATCGCCAGTCGTTTCGATCCTGTCGAAAAAATGTCCCCGAAACATACTGCTTCATGGTCTTCTGAAACTTTTGGACTAGCGAATCTTGGATGACCAGTGGTTGAACATTCTTATTGAAGGGAAGGTCTTGGATCTTAGTCATGTTGAACTCCTTGTCAACGCCTTCCATTTCTTTCCTGAGAAGGTCAATTTTTGGTTGGGGAACGGCTCGAAGATGTCCTCGAGAAGGTACACTTCGTTATCAAGTGGTTTCACCTTCAGGTGACGCAGGATGATGCGCGCAAGATCCTGGCAGAACTGGTAAGGGTAAACCTGCGCCAGCCTTGTCCTGCTTCCGAAAGTGCCAGCATTTCCTTCTAGGGGTTGATGCTGGTGTTTCTCTGAACTGGTAAAAATTCTTACACCTCCGAAAAATCGGTCTCATTATTTCGGGAGGTAAGCAATGCATCAAGCTTGTTGGCTTGAGACTTCTGAGTCCGGATTCAGGATCCTTCAGTCCGTGTGCACAGAAATGAAAATCTCCCCAGGTCACTGATTGATCTGAAAAGAGTTGCTGCATGCAATGGACATACCAGATCTTGGATGTCTGAGGGTTTTCAATGATAAAATATCTTGTGTGCTCCAACTGATGTCGCGCAATGGATGCCACGAATTCAACCATCGGAATGTAGCGCTCTCGCTTCTCCAGACCTTCTGTTGGCCTTGTTGGATGTTCGGCGTATTTGACCACAGACTGGTGCCATGAAGATGAGATCGGGCGCTTGTTCCTTGATGATCTCCATGACCATGCGTCGTCCCTTATATGTCATTGCGTCAAATCCACTGCGAATGTCGACTGGTGTCCCAACCTTTAGACCTGTGAGTGCGCAGCATTGACTGAGTTTGGGCACTTCCTGCAAAGATCTCGAGAACGTGGATCTTCCCTTTACGTACACAATTCCAGCGCGCCTGTTCGAAATACATGTCATGTCTTCCACGAGCATGTTCTCTGCTGGTGCTGCAGGCTTGGGAGTCGTCTTTCCAGCAACGCGTAATGGCTTGGAGGTTGATGGCTTAGGAGTTGGTGTAAATGACACCTGCTTCTTGGAGTCGAATGAGGATCCACCTTGCTCTTTCTGCAAGTTGTTAACTTTGGTGAGTCGAGTTCCAAGATCAAGTCCAGCCATTGCTCCTTCAGACATCACTTTTCCTTTTAACTTTTAACCATATTCCTCCTCTGCTTCTGAACTCATTTGGAAACTCTGAGCAAGGTCTCTGCGGATGTCTTCGGATTGACGAGCTTTTTGGAACGCTTGTTTTGACAACTGCTTAATCTGGATGGCTGTCAGCTCCTATCAAACGTCAACTGAGTTGGAGTTGCGACATCAAGCTGGATGAGATCTGCTGGTCGTCGTCCGAATGCGAGTTGCAAAGGCGTTACACCCCCGTAGGCAACGGTCTGATTTCTGACAGTTGCAGCTGCCTTCACAAATTGATAGTTGTTTGTGGACCATAGGAGTGCGAAAAACCTCTCGGCACGTGAGGACTAGGTGGTAGAGGACCTGGTAATAGGAGATGGCTTCACCTGCTGGCAGCGCTTCTTCGAGTTTTGTAGCAGTGTAAGCAACCAGTGGGGCACGAGATAGTCTGTGCCTTGTTGCAGAGTAGCGGGCCCACACAGGGTCCGGAATGCCATAGTGCCGCGCTGATGCATGGACAAGATCCCAGAGTCGAGCTGGTGGAAGAGGCTGAGGAGCGATTGCGTCTCCGGAGTGGACAACCGGCACGGTGATGGCATCGCTACATAGCACCGAGCACTTGAGCACGAGTTACCATTTTTTGGAAGGGAAGAGCCAGACATAAATCACACGTAAGCCAAGCTAGTTTGGCAGAACCAAGGATCCGAGGGCGCAAACACAGTACATCGCAAGGCGGTCAACGGGCACCCAAATACGAAAACCAAAACAGCCGAAAAACCGAGTCGGTAGGCACCTTCTTCAGTGTTGCAGGTGCTGCGCCTGCCTTGATGGAGTTGAGCATGATCTTCAACTGTGCCCTTCAGGAGTCGACCTGCTGCTTCAGCTCAATTCGGCCATGGTGTGTTCGGTCCCAACGGGATTGATAGACATGTTCCCACGTTTCCGTCATGATCCAACAACTGATTTGGGCTGCAAGTGGTACTGGTCAAAATAGTTCCTGAGGACAGTGATGTTCTCCGCTTCCTGCGTGGCGTGGTCGTCACTAGCAATGTCGTTGATCCATCCAGGATGAAAAAAAAAGATATGTTCTCCGGTTCCGAGAGGAACCTGGCAATGATCAATGAATGTCATGTCTCCAAATGCGTCCGCCCGAAGTCCGCTCGTCTTGCTTCTTTGCTGCTTGGCAAACTTCGCACCCGCCTCGCTTCGGGTTTTGCGACCAAGTCGTAGGTAGATTTCGGCAAGTGAAGCGCGTGGGTTCTGAATCGAAATTGGGTAGTCATGTGATGATGCTGAAGGTGGAGCTTCTTCAACCTAAGGCAAGCGGAAACGATGTTGGTTCGTCTGCGGATGGTGCAGTAAGATCTGGCTGAATGGTCGACCGGCCTTTCTCGTCGATGATCCTGTCTGCTGCAGGTCCTGAACCTGATTCTCCATCTTTTAGCGGATTGTCTGCGAAGGTGGAAATGGTCTTACCTATTCACAGGTTGATCATTGGTTTGTTTTGCCTGAGTTGCAAGTCTGCAATTTTCTTCTAAGATGTCTGGATCTCCGCCCTTGGATGCATCAATGATCTCTGTTGTACGTTCTCGGCTGATGTTGTCAGGATGATTGGACATTTCTTCGCTCCCGTTGGTGTGAACAGCGCCTTGCGAGGCGTGATGCGCACACGAACGTGCTTCTTGTCAAATATCCAATGACCTGCTTCAGAGACCCAATCATTTTTGGAGTTGCTGCGCCCTCTTTTGTCTCGCATGATTTGGATGCGCAAACAGTTTCACTCTTGGAGAAGTCCCCGGAGGGAAACTTGATGCTGTTGTCATCATCGTAGACATAACTTGTTAGGCCTTTTGCAGCAATCTCTCCATGTCATTTCACTCTTGCCACTCCATGTCATGTCCTGTGCCAAAAGCCTTGCATGTGGTGTTGTCACATTGAGGTGTGCGCTCAATGGTCATGTAGAGGTTCCGCGTCTGGCTGATGCTGAGGAGGATTGGTACAGTGCCTTGTTCAAGGATGTCGCTGTTGGTACTGGCTGGAGGAGTCGTGTGATATCTGAGACGCAAGGTCCAATTGACCTTAGTGGCGAATGTGAACTTGGTCTCGGCCGGAAGGCACTGGTACTTTCATGCGTTCGATGGCCTGAGTAGATCGCTGGATTGCATGCCAGCTGCCCATGGATCTGCGTCATGGAATGCCATTAATGTTTGTCCTGTGCTGGATGTCTCATCCAATTCCATGACGGATCCCAATCTTGGTCTGTCAACGTAGGCTCTGGCGGACTGCTCCTCCAAATTCCCTGCCGTGGCTGCGAACGTTTTGGATGTTCCTTTGTCATGTCCGCCTTTTCCTTTGCCACTGTCATAGGATAGATAACCTTTGTTTCCATCATAAGGATACTGGAGTTTCGATTTTCCTTTCTTCCCTGTCTTTCCTTTGCCTTTTCCCCAATATGCCTGGTCGTAGGGATCCTGATTTTCGTTGGCCACATTGGCCTTCCCGCCGGGGCCGCTTTTTAAATTTTGATGTGAATGCCTTCCATGATTGAAGAAACTGAGAAGTCTGTATAAGTACACGTTCGTCAAGCCCTTCAATAACTTCTTCAGCGTTCTTGAAATGAGGACTGCCTTGCACATGTGGGCGTGTCCGATGCGTCTGCACTCTTGACAAGCCTCTCTTGGATGCCTCGAAGGTGGTGAAGGTCACCCAATCATCTACGAGTTCTTCATATGTAAACCAGCTGACGTTCCGTCGTACGACGGCGGCTGCTCGGCGGTCATCGATAAATTGAGCATCTCTCCAGCGAAGTACACTTGAATAGGCCGCCACGAAGCCTTCTCATCAACAATTGAGGCCCACTGTCTGGGGTATCTTATCCCCGCAGGGAACGAACCTTGTGGTAGTAGAGGATCTTTATTTGGTAGGTCCTGGATCTATTCCGGAGAGTACAAGTGTCAATACTGATGAATTGATACTGGAATAGCCCTCGTTGACTGCGAGCTGCGGTTTACCCTCATGAAGGTGGTGCGCTGTAGCACCTTTGTATCACGGATGCCATGGCTCAGTGAGTTATGTACATCTCATGTGTGACATGAAAGGCCTTGAGCCAAAATGGCGTTGCATGGAGATCAATGAATCTGCCGGCTTACTGGTATACAGAATCATTTCTCCTTCGCATTACTCTGAGAACAACACAGTAACCCTTGAGAGCATTCAAGGAAGCCAGGCACACTCGCCCCCGCTCCCATTTGAGCTAGTCGGATCAGGATCGCCTGTTTGCATCCTGTCATCAATGGCTCAGCAACGGCCGGACCAATGCTCAGCACGCAGCGGGAGAATCAAGCATGGGGCACATGAATCCGGGCACAACCCGATGGACGATGCATCCATCGTAGTACCTGCAAAGCGCGATCATCAGCACACACCTGTACTGCAAACGTTGCTCGGCGTGCCCTGACTTTGCCAGCTCAAGAAAGTTTCTGCTTGTCAAAGGCCTGAGCCCAGCAAAGGCGCCAAAACACGCAGGCGCGAAGCACACAAACACAAACACACATCCAGCCCCCATGCACACTCGCACCAGCACGAACATAGATGTTTCACACGCACACGTCCAAACACTGGAAAGAAAGTGCATGAACACATACAGCTACATAGATAGATATATATATATATACACAAAAATACAATAAAACATTCGCAAACTCGCCTCAGCCCTTAGGGTGGGGAAGTGGACAGACCCGGTCAGATTCTCCAAATTGGCCCGGAAGCTTCGACCCCTTCGAATTTCAAAAGCCGATAAAAATCCCCGCTGAGAACCAATCCAACCCCTCAACCCAAGTCCCGACGAGGCCCAACCAAGCAACCCTTAGAAACCGGTCTAAAATTCCGCACTTGAAACAACCTCAACCACAACCCTCTGCAAACCGATCAAATTCCCCTAGAAGCCAGTCAAACCCTCCTCTAGAATTCAAAGCAGCCCCCCAGAAACCAGTCAAATTCCCCTTTTGAAACAACAACAGCGCCCTACTTGCTATAAGACGTCGCGGCTTCCTCACCAAGCTGCTCAACAGCAACAGGGTGAAGCTCCAGCTCACGCTTGAACAAGCAGGACGACAGAGCGCTAGTCCCAGATACAGACAAGACACCCAGATTGCCGAATGAACCCAAAGGCCTCTACAACAACGCCTGCAAGTGCGATCAAGCAACGTCGCAACATAACAACAGCAACAACAACAACAACAACAACAACAACAACAACAACAACAACAACAACAACAACAACAACAGCAACCACAACAACAACGCCAACACCAACAGCACCAGCAACAATACCAACAACAGCGCCAGAAACACCAACAACAGCCACACAACACCAACAACACCAACAAAACGAACAACACCGACACCACCACAACCAACAACTCTTCCGCCACCACCAACAACAACAGCAGCAGCGACAGCAACAACCACAAACAACAAAAGCACCAACAACAACCGCAACAACAAGCAGCAGCAGCAGCAGCAGCAGCAGCAGCAGCAACAACAACAACAACAACAACAACAACAACAACAACAACAACAACAACAACAACAACAACAACAACAACAACAACAACAACTGCGACAACAGCAACAACGACAACGACAACGACGACGGCAACGACGGCAGCCATACCGACAACGGCAACGACAGCGACAGCGACAACGACAACGACAACGACAACGGCAATGGCAATGACAACGACAAGGACACCGCAACCATAACAGCAGCAGCAACAACAAAAAAAACCGCGACCAACAACAGCAGCAGCAGCAACATCACGGCAACGGCAACAGCAACAGCAACCGCGACAGCAACAACAGCAGCAGCAACAACAGCAGCAACGGCAACGGCAACGGCAACGGCAACGGCAACGGCAACGGCAGCAACAACAACAACAACAACAACAACAACAACAACAACAACAACAACAACAACAGCAGCAACAGCAGCAACGGCAACAGCTACAACAGCAACAGCAACACCAGCAACAACAGAAACAGCAACAGCAACAGCAACAACAGCAACCGCTCAGCAACAGCAACAGCAGCGCCAACAACAACAGCAGCAACAACGGAAACGGCAACCAGCGACAGCAACAGCAACAGCAACAGCAACAGCAACAGCGCCAGCAACAGCAACAGCGCCACCCCACCAGCAGCAGCAAGAAGAGGAAAGACAGCAACGTCAACAACAGCAGCAACAATGCCTGTGGCAGCAGGAATGCCAGCCTGTGCGCAGCGCTGAGCGGGGCGGGTGTGCTTAACAGTTGGCACGCGGGTGCCGCGGTGAGTGGTTGCGCTAGAGCGGGTGAGCTAGTTGGCCAGCCTGCACAGTGCTGAGCGGTTGCTTCTGAGCAAGTGCGCCCAACAGTTAGGGTTGAAAAACTCGCTCCCATGCTTATGGGGATCACTGGTCGCGGTTGCTCGTTTTTCCACGATTCTGTCACTTGCAAGACCAGGCAGACAACGGCTCCAAATTGGTTCGGATGACGTCTTAGGACGCACCGCGATGCGACAATGCAAGAGCAGATTGACTGCCTGCGACACACCCCCAGGCCTGTGGGCCGCGAAAAACAGAAAGTGACAGCCAGACCGGTCCTAACACTGAACACACACACACCTGCACAAGGAAGCGTAGTTGTAAACGCTTCGCGTTGCCCGCCTCGGCCAAGTGCTGTGTTTTGGTTCGCCTTGAGGTGTGGCGTTTGTCGGTGTTCAAGGATTTGAGCCGCAGGGTTTTGCCTAGAGGGAATGTGACCACTTTGAGGCGGTTGGGTTGCTTGGCAAGAGTGGTGTCTCTGTTGAGTCGCGGGGCAATCTGCTAGTTGGGATGGCTGCGCGTGCGCTGCCATTGTTACTTGCTGCGCAAGCGTAACCTTCTGCAGTCTGAGCAAAAGTGGAAAAGCTCAAGCCCTTGATGCACGCAAGGCTACAAGACAAAGTGGTTCGTACTTTAGCAATGGTGGATACGTATGTTCATAAGCATGTCTACATACACAATAAATACTCATATGTACCTGAGACACACATGCCGCTGTGCACGCAGTCATCAGAAATGCGCCGTAGCCTTCTCTCTGCGCATGATAGTTAACATGGTCTGGCAGCTTCCAACAGAACAACGCGGCGATCGCATTACTGGTTTCTGGGGCGCCGACGTTTTGGAGTAGTGCAACGTGAGCCTAAGCGACCTGAAGCACTCAACGTGTAATCAAAACGGTACCACATATTTGGGGGTGATCAAAATGTCCTTTGCATGGGATGACCATCAAGGAAGCCCAAAACAAGGATGGAGAAGTCTGCGCAGCTTCACTGCTGCGCGTTGAAAGGAGACTTGTTGGTGTTTGAGCAAAACGCATGTGAAACATGGCCATTGACCAATCGAACCGCCTAAGGTTGTAAATAGGGGGAGCCATCTATGCAAAACCACAAGTCAGCAACATCTGAGACCTGTACGTGCCTCTACCACACCTGTACGGGGGTGGTTTGTGCTGGGACCTGTGGTTGAGGTACCTGTACATAGACCTTTAGGTATGGGGGTTGAGATGCACCTGTCCTGCACCTTTGACTTTTACTGGGCGGATTCAGGTACTGTCTGGGTAAGAGACACAACCTGTCCTACACCGGATGGTTCTGTTCGTAATAGCTCAACGACTGCAGACTACTTGCGGTTCCTAGGGATTTACGTAAACCCGACGTATACCTGACACCTGTACCTGGGATGTTGGTAGACCAATGTGTACCAAGAAAGCGTCTTGACAAAACTGCCGCTGGCAGGTACACCCGACACAGACATGCACCCATACTGGGCCTATACTCCGGGCTTCAAGTGCTTTTTATGCGGGGTCTTGCTGCAAGCAAAGGTACCCTGTACTGGGGGACGCCTGAGACCTGTACGTAGACCTTACCTATACCTGTACTGGGCTGGTTTAGGTGTGGGGGTTAGGTACCTATAAAGGTGACGCTAACCTCTCTGCAACAAACAAGCTGGACACTTTGCTGCTTGTGTTTTGAGCGGCTGGTTCTGCGAGGTTTGCGCGCACACGTGACATGCGTAAATGTGCGTGCAAATCAAATCATCGTTGCGTCACGCTCGCGCTAGCACGCTGTTGAAAAGGCTGGTGCTCTGATCAAAAGACATGAAACGCTGAGTCTCTAGCTTTGCACGGTTGGAAGGTGCTTTCTCATGCGGTGAGTGCGTACGCCGTTGCCCAAGTCACAGATGCCACTTTTTTGAGCCATGCAATCGCAATCGAAACGTGCCCGCAAAACTCCCCGCGCGAAGCGCTCTATCTTTATGCTAGCTTGTCTACCTATCTAGCTATTGATCTATCAATCTGTCTATCTATCGATCTATCTATGCATCTTTCTACCTAATCCATCTTTCTGTCTGTCTGTCCATCTTTATCCGGACATCTGTCTGTCTGTCTTCTATACCTCTGTCTCTGGCTATTTATCTACGTCTCTCTGCTCCATCTACCTATCTACACATCTGTTCCTTTATGTCGTCTGTCTATTCATGTCTTTCTTTCTATATTTCTATCTATCTGTCAATCTCTACATCTACCTATCTATCTCTCCATCTATCCACCTATCTATCTTTTTATCCATCCATCTCTGTTTTTTTCTTGATCTGTCGAACTCTCGCTCTCTCTCTATCCATCTATCCCTTTCTATATCCATCCATCTACCCATCTCTCTTTCCGTTTCTGTTTATCTCTTTGCTCATCTATCTATCCATCTACCTATCTCTCGATTTGTCTGTCTATGTAGATATCTACCTACCTTTCTTTCACTCGATCTCTCTATCTTCCCATGCATCCATCCATTTGTCTTTCTATCTATCTATCTATCCCTGTCCATTTGTCTTTCTATCTATCTATCTATCTATCTCTGTCTTTCTTTCTGTCTGTCTATCTTTCTTTGCGTCTATCCATTTGTCTTTCTATCTCCGTCTTTCTTTCTTTCCTTCCTTCCTTCCTTCCTTCCTTTCTTTCTTTCTTTCTTTTCTTTTTTTCTTTTTTTCTTTCTTTCTTTCTTTCTTTCTTTCTTTCTTTCTTTCTTTCCTTCTTTATTTCTTTCTTTTTTCTTTTCTTTCTTTCTTTCTTTCTTTCTTTCTTTCTTTCTTTCTTTCTTTCTTTCTTTCTTTCTTTCTTTCTTTCTTTCTTTTCTTTCCATTGACCCTGCGAAAGCGCGGCGCCTGCCACGATATCTGTACCTGACCTTACGAAAGTATCGCGCCTGCCTCGACATCTGTACCAGGCCTTGCGAAAGTGCTGCGCCTGCCACGAAATCTGTACCTGACAAGTGTTGCGCCTGCTCGCTGCGCCTGCCACGAAATCTGCATACGCCACCTTGCGCGTCCGTACCAATGGGATTTGCGTCGCGTCCGTGCCAGAAGCGCCTGCCACCAAGCCTGAACTTGACTTTGCGAAACTGCTACGCCTGCCGTGAAATCTTGACCTCAGCTCGCCAAAGCGCCGCGCCTGTCACGCGAGACTGACATTGCAACAAGTTCCAAGACCGTCCCGAGACCGTCCCAACCCCGTCGTCCGTCAGACGTTGCGACAGAAGTAGCTTTCAGCCCGCCGGAGACGCCAAAACACGCAGAGGGCGGCGATTTCTATTCCCCCGCCACACGCCCACGCAGGCTTTCTCGCGCGCGCGTTCGTTCTTTCTTAATCTCATCTTGCGCGCGACTACCTTTCAGTTAGTGTCCGTACACGGAAGTTCCTTCTAAACTTCCTTTGCTGCAATGACATTTATTGTAGAACCATGAGGTGGCCGCCATGAAGGAGTCTGAGTATGTCGCAAACGGATGTGCTCGAGGTAGCTGATCTGGGGTTCTTCCGGTTTCACGCGTTGGTTCATCAGATTCCTCATCACCTCCATAGTCTGGTTCTTTCATCATCATCAGGTTCATCTGCGCAGCGAAAACGGTGGAGCTTTGAGAATCTTCCTTCTTCCTGCTCTTCGAATGAATCCTTAGGAAGGATCTTGAGAGGATTTTGTTGGTCTTCTTCCTCGGATTCGTTCTCGGGTTTTGCCTGCTTTATCAGCTTCTTCAGCAGGTTCTTCCGGATCTTATGTCTTCTTCATGAGCTGATTCTGGGGGTATGTGTTCTCCTTCCTCATCCCGAAAGATCGCCCCATGATTGACAGGGGTTTGCAACACAAAGAGGTCAAGTGCGCTTGAAAGTTAAATGGTTGCGGGGGCAGACACAAGTTTCATTAAATGGCAGGCGGGTTGCATCATGAGTGGAGTACTGTGAGTCAAGCACAGAACAAAAGAGAAACACTCTCCCCCTCCCGCGCCACAGTAAGGCTGTCACCCCATACTCGTTTCAACGCGAGCTGCCATGGCAGACCTAAGAGAAGCATGCGATTCGATCAATCAACACTTTATCCTCCCTTCTACGAAACGTCCAAATAAAAGCGCAGTACAACACAAACGTGTCAAATAGGGGAAGCCAGCAACTGGTGAAAGCAATGCCTGAATATTGCCTGCTGAGGTCCTGGCTACAGGAAGAACAAAGGCAAAGCAGCACCGTCTTTGCCAACGAGCTGCTCGCGCAGCTTTCAAGGTGTATGTTCTCTGAGGCTCACCGAAAGTCAGTTCTCCAAGAACTCGTCTGCTTCTCGAAAAAACGCACTGTTGCAACAGTAGTCAAAACAAAAACAAAAAACAGCAAACAGCGCATCACACTGCATTGACATGATGCGCGCAACTGACAACAAAGCCAGTACGGGCAGGACTTCCTGCGTGCGTGACGGTGCAGTAGTTGTTGTTCGCTTGGCTTTGCGGCGTTTATGGCTTGCTTGAGCTTTTTACACGCGCAATGTGTGTCCCGTCAAACTGCAGCCTCGCGGAGATCCAAGCTCATGCTCCACGCCCAACTCGCGCGTTGCAGCAAACATTTTCACCTCCAACGACATGATGTTCAGTCACTGGTTTCAACTCATTGAACATCACCCAGGCTCTTGCTTGTTCCAAGGTCGAGGTGGGTCCACCTTGAAGAACGTGCCAAGTTGCTATTAGGGTGAAACATGATGCAACGTACATCAGAACGGATCCAACTTGGACCTCACCATTTCGTCTGCATACCTCTCAATTCTCAGTCACCAGCAAGCAAGCAGCATCAGAGGCGCATTCCCTTCCGAAGGTTCTCCGCTACAAGAAGCCACAATGTGTCAACCGGCCTTTCTCCTGTTTCTTGTAGCATCGATACCCCAAAGGTACAGGCACGTTGTTACCGCCCAGCCTTGTTTCCGCGCAAGACTGCTTAGGGAAGCGCTCGTTGAACACCTGCCAAGCCACTGCGATTGACAAGTTACATGGCCCGTCCGGCAAAAAAGGTGAGAGAGCCTTCGGGAAAGGGTTCAAAGGAAACCAATGAGCGAAGCACAACTGTTGTTCTCCATTGCGCGAGAAACATAAAAAAAGGGGCTGAGAAACTCATGAAGTATGATTGATGCGCAAAAGGTGGGCCATGGATGCAGGATACACATATCTATTCATGTATGTACACAATTGATATACATGCACTGCACCCCCGGAAGCACAGAATGAAAGCACTTTGCAGGGCTTGGGCGCTTTAAAGAACCTGCATTCCTGCTTTCAAGATTCAAAAGCGTCAGGACTCTAACTTTGGAACTTAAAACAGAGCGCCCAAAACTCGCAGCATGTTCAAGATTCAGCACGCAAACCTTGAGTTCGGCATTGCTCCCGCCGTAACTAGTCAAAACACTTGATGCGTTTCAGCATTGTAGATGCAAGATTCTCAGGCCCGTATTTTTTGAATCTTAAACCCCGGCCTTGTCCAGGGAGCAGGCAGGTTCAAGCGGTTTAAAAAATATTGGCGCAATCTGCATTGGGCTCAAGATTCAAAATTCAAGCCCCAAGCACTGAAAATCTTGAAGCCAGAAACGCATTCAAGTGCTCAACAGCACCTTCTTGAACTTTAAGGTTACGCAAAGCGGTTGCTCACAAGTTGGGTCTGTTGGCCCTTCTCCCCCAAAGTTCCATGAGTCAGCCGTGCGAACGCGCAGCTCTTTATTTTCCCCCACGCTGACGTGGGTGAGTGAGCCAAACAAGAACACCCATCAGGATCTCAAGAACTCAGCTCATCCATCCACTCCTCAGGCCCTACACCACCTACACCAACATCATCTAGGCCAGGATTCAACCCAGCCAGCCGACAAAATGCGACCACCTTTTAAATGCATGTCATATGATGCGCAAGTTCAAAAATGACGCAGCGCTTCAATCACTACATGTGTTGCTGTTCGGGCATCCATTTCTTTTTGTGAAACGTCAACGCGTGATCAGTGGCATCTTTGGCCAATTGCTTGCTGCAAAGGTTGTGAGGGGGTGCTCTCCAAACATCCTAGGGTCCACAACCACCCAGAAGCTTTCGCAGAAAACCAAACCCTCATGGTTACTTGGAAAGTTGGTGCGGAAATGTTGCCAGTACTACCATGGTATGCTTTAGCTATTGCCAGAAATTGCAGCGGCGCTTGTAGCGGGTGAAATCCGTGAAACAATGCAAACTATGCTCTCGTAAGTCTGGCTCCACTGAATGTTTTGTGAATTGCCCTTGCACCACTCATTTTCTGGGAATCCGAGGGTCATAACAAAAAGTTTGGCATACGCAGCATTCACAATTCCTTGCTGCATTCTGCAAATTCCAAGGCTGGTTTCTAAACGGGTCGAGATTTAATTTGGGATTGTTGTTTTATTTTGGGACTTTTTGCTTTCCGTCCTGGCTGCGAAAACGCTGTAATTTACAGCATTTTCTCGCAACATGTACGTATTTTACGCTGGTCCGTCAACATCATCAGCATCGTTTTCAACAACCCCCCGCATGTCCAGCCAACATCCCCAGCATCACCAGCAAATCAAGAGCCTTGGCTTCCTGCATCTTCAGCATCCTCAGTTCCTCTGCGGCAAGGTAGGTAGGCATTTATGCATGCGTGTTAAAAAGAGGGGCGGGGCCCCCCTCATGGTAAAAGTGAGGGTTCAATTTTTTGGCAAACCAATCCCTGTGAAACACATAAACGTAGCGAGGGGGTTGAGGGGGGCGGCACCCCCCCCATGATTATAGAAAAAGTGATGAATCACTTACGGGTGCATTTTCATCTCCAAAAATCCAAAAGTCGCGGGCGGTTAGGGGGCGGGGGGTGAGATACTGTTGGGGGGTACCGTATCCCAGAAGGGAACAGGCACCTTGTGGTAGTAGAGAATGTATGTGGTGGTCCCTGGATCTATTCTGCAAGAGAGTCCAATACGCCAATAGTGGAGGAACTGAGAATGGATGTCCCTGGACCTGTGATCTGTGGATTATTCCTGTAAGGCGCTCTGCAGCTCTCCTTTTGTAATGGCTGCAGAATGAGTACTGCGTACCTATTATACAAGAGGGGCCTTGAGCCAAAATGGTAATGGATGTTACAGGGTCAGCATGCGAAGCAAAAGCAACACAAAACAGACACTTCACCCTGAACACCAAAATTGCATTCTTGGCTTCATGGCCTTTAGCCGTAGCCATTGGGTATGGTGTGCTTGCCGTAGCCATATTTAAATTCAATCATCCTGTTTCTGGCGCGGATGAACTGTCTTGTTGGCAAAATGGAGAATGCTTTGTACTGGTTGGATGAGATACCTACTTGTATCTAAAACGGAAGAGACACTTTATACACGCGGGATGGTGTGACACTATTGATCACTCACTGGCATACTCTCGATGCGCAGGAGGATCAATTGATTGGAATTCGTAGTGTCGGTTCCGTGTCAATGCTCTCCGTCAGCGTGGTTTCTGATAGCTTCTCATTGCAACCATCATATCCCATCATTTCTGCGGGTACCAACGATAGCTGTCGGATTGGCTTCCATTCCCTCCGCCATAATCCTCCCATCCCTGATAGCCAGAGCGCTTCCATCCTTGCTTGTAGGATTGGTCCCATGACTTCCATGCGGTCTGCTTCTCCTTCTTCTTGTTCTGGATGAACTTTTTGTTGCGGTGAAGATTTCTTTCCTGATCAGCTGCGAGGCTGTGGACATAGACCAGCAATGGGGTGTGAGAATCTGAGTCGCATTGTCCAAGCATTTGCATCTCATTATTGATGTGCTTGGAGCGCTCGGCGGATGTGACCTTGTAGTCGGAGATGGCCTTGTCAACATCGTCTGTCATGGATTCCAACATCTCTTGGTCATTCTCGGAATGATGAAAATCTTGTTGGATGTTGGTCGTTCCCCAACTGAATACGAAGGTCATCATGCAATCTATAAACGCCCGGTCGTATTTTGAACCTGTCTTCGTACGAAGATGGTGGAAAGCGATGGATTTGATTGTGCATGAACTAGACATGGAAAAATCCATTGAATCCGCCAACGGTATGTCTTGTGTCTCATTCCAAGTTCTCTTGAACTTCTCCATGATGTAGCACATGAGGCCTTTATTCAGGATTGTAGACGGATTGCAGCTTGCTGAACGTGTTCGCGGGTTTGTTGGCATTAGCTGTGATCATATCGCGTTGGTATTCCGTAACGAGCGGCATGATACCTTTCTGCACGTCTTCTTTTGCTGCACCGTGGCTGATGTTCGGATGGATATGGAATACTCCGATAGTGGCAAATGGAAGATCAGCTCGGGTAACGTAGGATAGAACAGGATCCTTGGTGGTGGATTTCGGAAGTGCTCCACGGATCTCATTGTTCTGCTTGATGTGGATGACGACAATCTCACAGTTCTTGCCACGCCATTGAACGGCTGATGGCAATCTCTGTCCAACGCACTTCTCCTTGTTGTCGTACATGGATGTTCCGGCGGATGCCAGGCAGTCGGATGCGGGAGTATCGTAGTCCGGATCAATGCAACCTTCCTCGAGTCCGAAGAAGCATCTGAATATGCCAAATTGTAGTACTCCAACATTGGCTCTAGGTTGAAATGTAACGCGCCAATAGTTCGACTCTGGCGCGCTTACCACCTCGTACAAAGCATGCGATGGACTTGGATGACCATAGCTTCAGAACGATGCCCTTGTATCCGCATTTGATGAACAGTTTGATGAGGTCGACGGTCTTTTCCTCTTCCGGGTAGTAGAACGGATCTGCCCGTTGATGCAAAGGATGTTTGCACTGTTCTGCACCATCTGCATGATGAGCGGTCAGTGCTTGATTGGCCATTGCCTGAGTTCACGAATTATCCAGCTTCGGACTCCTTGTGAGGTTCCAGTGATTCAGTGTCAGGACGTTGAGTGAAATGGTGGGATGGATAATCTTTTCTCTTATTGGTAATAGTCTTGTCCATCTGCCCATTGCGGGATACCGTCGGAATGACCTCGGTACTGAAACTCTTGGGATCGTCGTTGATAAAGCAACACATGTAGGCCATATAAGCCTTTTTTCTTGGGCGTCCTCTCCACGGATGGTTGGCTCCCACAAGTCATTGAATTTGGTTTTCAACCAACATGGCTTCTCGCGGGGTCTTCGCAAGTGCTCAGGAACATTGTCGAAGTCTGGATGTTTCTGTTGGATAGTGCAACACTCACGGTAGTACTCCTGCACGAAGCTCAGAAACTTGCTGTTCCAGAATGGCGAAGGATTCCTATTTTCCTTCACCAACCTGGCCGGGCGTGTCGGAATCCGTCCACTTGGAGTGATCAATGGATGCAGGAGGTGCCTTCATCGTCGGCCGGCAAAGGTGGCCGGTCTGCATTTTGATGCTTGGCATTGTCGGAATCCGTCTCTTCGTCCAAGGTCGCGGATGGTGGTGCCTTGATCTTCGGTGTCAGCCTCAGTGTTGGCACTGGAGGCTGCATTGGCATTGCCTTCTGCCTTGGTCTTTCCTCAAGAGGTCGACCAGCGGGCTTCTTGTCCTCATCGCTGTCTTCTTCTTCGGGGAGATTGGATTTCGACTTCTTCTCATCGTTGATCTCACCCATGACATAGTCGGATGATTCATCATCGTCATCACTCGGGACAGGTGAATCTTTGAGGGGCGACGCTCGTCTCTTTCCAGCTGGCTTCGGAGTGGGTGGCTTTGACTTGCTGCTTCCGACAATGCTTGCAAGGAGCGGCGTGTTGTTGTCAATCGAATTGAACATACGCGATCGCAAAAAAGTCGAATGGAATGTAAACCAAATTGGCTACACATATTTCTTGAGGTTCAAGAAAGGTCACATGCAAAATACTCATCACGGCATTGAGGGATTGAAAATCCTTAACATGGAGAAATCATGCATTGAAATTCATGGACATGTGGATCATGCCCAGGTTCCCCAAGAAGCTCCTGCGAACGCAATTATGTT